GTAAAATTACATAGTTGCAATATAGGGAATTAAAAACAATGCTTTTAATATTTATGTAAAACAACATTGTTAAAGTATTAAACACATAGTTTTTTTTTTTATAAATAATTGTTGTTGGAGCATGCAACTATAACATCCGTAATTGGTATTGGAGTAAGAAATTTTCAAGATATGGCATAATTAACCCTCAATAATTTTTTTGTATTCATATAATTCAAACTCAAAGTTACATGTTAATTCAACTGAATGTATATTTTTTCTAATAGAAACCTTTAATCCTTTTCAATTTTATCTTTTTTATGTCACATATATATGAATATATACATTAAAAATTATTATCATTTGATCAATTTAAATTTAAAACAAATAATCCTTCCATTTTGTTTAATAATATATAATAATTTTATTACATCATATTTGATTTCGGTTGGCTCTATTATGCATTCAAATACAACTTAAATTTCGTAATTTACTTCGCTAGTGTAAAGATAGTTACATATAAGCCCTTCACTTTGTCTCATTCATTGAACGGTAAAATTTCTCTTATTTGAATAAGCTAGTTCGTGATTAAAACCATAGCTTTAGGCATGAAAAGGAAGAATGTCATGATCATATTGGATTAGATGGGAGTCACAGTAAGGATCTTTTAGGGAAAAAAGAGAACAAGTCATCTTCATAATCAACCTGTTCAAGGGTGACAGTGCGAGATATAATTATATTGAACCACGACAACAACAGTTGGAACTGTCATTTCCATCTCATGAAATGGCTAGATTTTTTCAAATTGGGATAAGGGGACTTTCACAAGCATTGTGCTCTTGTTATAAATGTGAAGGTGCTCATTATATATATTTGCTATGAAATTACGTGTCGTATTTTGATATGCTACTTAATTTGTTAATTTTGTTTTAAAACTATCTTTTCAGTAATTGCTTAATTCAATCAATGAAAAGTAAGTAAGGCTGTTATAAATATATTTGGACATGCATCATATGCAGTATGAATAACAAAGGAGATACCATATTTATATACACAAGTCTCAATCTCATGGGTGGTTGGGTGTTACTAACACATTTATGTAAAACCCTAGTCATCCAAATAATCATGGTTTGATCTGAATAGATGAGGACAAGAGGTACTTGCTCTTGGTTTCAAATCTGAATGAACTAGGGTGTTTGTGAAATCTAATATATTCAGTTGATCCTCGTGGTCGATACACGGTTTCATTAGTATATATACTCGACTATCATTATATTAGTAATGTCTTGCATTAATTTGATCTCCATCTATCTACCCGTGCCATGTTTATGAGAAAGTCAAGCCATGCTGCAAAAAGTTCATCTCTCTCTTTATATTATAACCATCAGATTTAATATTATTATAAAGTGCATGAACTTTTAATTATAAATTAGCTTCATCCCACTATGTTATTTTAATAGAAATTAGAATATAAAGTGTTTTTACAGTGTTGCTTAATCATAAACTATTGTATATATAAAAAAAAAATTATTTGATAATAGTTATTTTACAAATCATATCCAATATAATTCTGATATAAAAGTTTTTATAATTTCTAATATAAAAGCTTTTATAATAACGATGTATATTTATTAAACTTCCATATAAAATCTGATATACTACGTCTGTTGGAAACAGTAGAGATAGATTTAAATGATTGAAAATATAAGATCAACTTTCAATTTGAAATTAACGTGCAAGAACATTATGAGTGTTAGGTATGAGTTTTTTTAATAATAAAATATTATTTTAATATATCATATGTAATTTTGGGTTGGTTAAAAATAATAGTTATATTTTTTGTGAGTTGCTTGACATCTGTAAGTGTACACGAATCCAAGTCCTAAGTTAGTGAAGATAATTTTTTTTAAGAAAATAAGAATTAATAATAATCATCAATATATATATATATATATAGAAAGAGGAGGATTCATACGACACCGGTATAATCTAAGATAATTTGATACTTTATTCTTATAAAACAAAATTGACGTAATATATTTATTTTAAAATATACTAAAATATGAACATTTTGATTACTTTCAAGTTATTGTTCAATTTTAATAAAATTTGACATACACATATAAATTGATATGAACTTTCAATCTAACGGTTGAATTTATAAAATTCACATTTAATATAAAGTTATTGAACGATATAACACTTAATAAAAATTACACCAGTATCTTTTGAACTCTCTTCATATATATATATATATATATA